AAAATCTATTGCTATTTGCATCGGAGAAAGAGAAAATACCGGTTCAAGTTGAATAAACTGTTCGATTGACTTCTTGAATGTTGGATCGGATGCAATTACATTACGTCCAACTTGATTGGAAGGAAACATTTTCAGTAAAACCAAAATTCCTTCGACGTCATCAGCCCATGAAGTTTTAAATCTTTTAACTTTATAATGACTAAATAAAATTTCCCGAAGTTGTGGTGCAAAAACTGGCCATTTTTCCATAAATGCAGATGCATTTGCTGCTTCAAACGTCAATTCAAATTCTTTCAAAATCTGCAAAAAATGTCGATTAATAAATGATTAATGAACGGATCAATTTTTCTTCGTTCTAATTTTACTACCAAATGTGGGTGTGTGAAGAAGTATGGAAACTGTTCTTTTAAATGAATGTTTTTGTCCTTCAGTATTTTATGACGATAAGTGCGCGTTGAATTCAATTTTTGTAACAAAGTCTCCATGTTTTCATCCGACACAACCAATGACTTTAAAAATATCACTTCAGCAGCCGCTACTGTTTCATCAACATCATCAGATGAGGTAATATGCTGAACTTGTTGGCTTGTGTTTAACGAAACATTATTTGCACTTTTGTTTAATTTACTCTGTGCCTCTCGCACGTACTTCAAACGAGCGTTCATCCACCCTTTATCACCGTTGAGTAGCAAGTCCTTAGAAGAATTTGGGTATTAGTTTGATTTAACGCAATTTGTGTCTCAATTAAACTCACAATTCCGCCTTTTTCACTTCCTTTGAATGCCAATCGAGGAAAAAGAATGATAGTTGCCTTTGCTGTCGATGTTTTTTGATATGAAGTGGGTTTTATACCAAACTTCTGAACCATAAAGTCAACAACATTGCGAATAATTTGGCGCCGTGTGTCGATACTTATCGGTGTGATGTTTTCATTGCCGAGAGTTTTCAATTCTTCTGCCTCTTTTTCCTCATCCAAAATCGATTCCAAGTGATGTGACTTAAAATATGTTTCAAGTTGCTTGAAAGAGAATAAATATTTCAATGTAAAACAGAAGATCTCTAGCAAAATGATGTGCTTACTTGTGCCGTAACTATTTCAACATTGCCATTTTGTGTCGGTGTAAATTTTATTTCTACAAAAAAGTTGCTGCCGTTCCAGAAGTTTCGAATAATAAATTCAAACAGATTTTGTGGTATATCTGTACCAGTGTTGTCGGTTAAATATAATGTGCTTCTTTCTTGAATTTTTATTCCAAACAACGCGAGTCCTAAAACACAGCGAAAATAATTTCAAAACAATTCAACACCATATTTTTTTTTGAATTAAAACCAACCTTTGTCAACAAACGTTTTCC